ATCCAAGACGACGAGGTATTCTACAAAAAAACACCCCATATTTAATTATTAAAAAAAAATACTTTATAGATAACACTAAGACCTACGGTACACATTACTCAAGCAGGAACAGAATATAAAAATATTATGAGACGAATTTGGCGTGCTTGTAATTATTGGATCAAGTGTCCCAAAGACAGACAAAAAATTTATGGCAACATTGGAGAAGCATTTTATAATGTTGCCCTTATGTATGTAAACAGACTATGTTGATGTACTGGTTTAAACACATTTTGTTTTGTACTTTTTTAGTCTAGATTATATGGAAGATCATACAATACTTCGTCGAGGAATTCCGACTGCTCATATGGTTTATGGAATTCTATTGACGGTGCAAGCCACGATTTACAGGGCTATTCTTTCAGTTGAAGAATTGTTACATTATTTGGAAAATAATAAGGTATGGTTGTAATTCTTGTAAATACGAATCTAGTAATTGAGATTAATTTTGTATATATTTTTCTTCTAGGAAGAAGTTACTGATGGATTTATTAAGATCGGAATTCGTCTGCTTACAGGGCAAGGAGTAGACATATACTTCACGGATATCGCCCAGTGTCCTACCTTTGATGACTACAGAACGATAATTTATGGCAGTAAGTTAAAATTTGGCATCACGTTGCTTAATTTTAATATGTCATTTTTTAACATGTTTTTGTTTTAGAATCTCGCGCTGTTTTGCACTGGGGAGTTCGATTGTTAGAATTATTTGCCAAAAAGGAAAAGATCCAATTCAGTGCAAAATTTTGGGACAATTTGGGTTATTTTATAGCGATATATGACGACTACGTAAATTTGCACAACCCTAAGATAAGCAGATTTTACTACTTTTGGGTTTGGTTTAACTCGTTTTGTAGTGGGCAAGCGTTCGGGTCTACTGTGATGATCTCGATGAAGGAAAATTCAGCTTCCCCATGATTCATGCTATTCGGAGTTATCCAAATGATCACCGGCTTTTGAGTATCCTTTACACGAAAGATCATATTCATTCAGTCAAAGAAAACATTATTTTTTCTTAATTATTTGCCTTAGATATGTTGACAAACAGGCCACTGGATATGGAAAGTAAGAAACTTTTCGTAGATATAATGGAAAGTTTTGGAAGTTTTGAGTATACTAGAAATGTGCTGGAAGATATGAAAAATGGTATTCTGGAGGAAATGGACAAACTGCAGTTAGAGAAAAATCCACATTAGCACCGAGTTCTTGAAGATATATTTACTAAATTAGAAACTGACCTTTTTATCGACACGTGTAATTAAACCGAAATTTTGTTTTTTTTTTATATCTCCATTAATTACTAAAATCTTCGTACTTAGGTTGTAACTGCTCCAGGAAACGTGCTGGGAATTAGTTAATAAGTTGTACACATACTTATGAATTAACACAGTAAAATAAAAGACTATTCATCTGTTCTGAGATCTGATTTTCTAGACAGCAAAATGCGTCCGAAATTTTTATCTAGCGGAACTTTCGCCACAGTCAAACAAATGTTCTTCAATCACTTTTACCATCAAAGGACTGTGACTTTGGTGTAAACAGAGATTAGAACGAGGCAGAATTTTATTTGATCATCTTTAGGAAAAATCGAGTTAACAAAAGAGTTGCTAGTGTTTCTACAACCGTCTCTGGTCACAATTTCTGGTACCATCACTAAGATGAATCTGTATTTAAATATTCTGTTAATTAAAAATTAAAGTATATTTGAAAAAAAATTTATTAAATTGTAATATTATAAAAAACGACCTACTAATTCCACTTTACCGGTTTCTGTTGGGTCTTGCCAATTTAGCTCCAGTGGTGCTCCGTGAAAACAAACACGGTGCACTTGCTTGGGTATTAATTTTGCAACAGTGCATTCTTTGGTTCCGAGTCTGAATTCTCCATGTCGTTAGACGCTTTGGCCTGTGGGGGTTCTGTTGGCTTTTAGACGATGGGTCGCATCTCCTATAAGGATGAGGTCAGTCGGCCTTGAATTTATGCGGCTGCGTTCTCGCTTGGCCGTGTGAGCGCTGCGACCTATAGATTTCGTTCCGAGTTCCATCGGTGTGCTTACTTGGGTTTTCATTTTGCAACATTCTCAATTTTTGGTGCAATTTCTTCCGGTGGTATATTGTATCTGCATTGTATCTGAATTGTATCTGTATCTGTAGTGTATTCTGTATTGTAGCTAGATTGTAGGTACCTGTATTGTCTTTCTGTTGTATTGTACTGTATAACGTTCTATCCCTCATTAACAAATCCTAGCCCTCTCCTTTCCTAGCGAGATCTGCTCCAGACCTTCCCATGGTTCTTGCTGAGCATCAACTATCGAGGACAGAAAATTCAAATTCAAAACCAGCAAAGTTTCACAAAAATAACGAAAATCGCTCGTTGGTGGCCAACGTGGAGCAAAAGAGACTTTTGTAACTCAACTAACTTTGTTAACTGTATATTCTTAAGGAAACAAAAATATATTACATTTAATTTATTATTTATAAGGACAAATAGTTATTTGCCACACCGATGCTCATTTTTAGATTAAATGCTCACAAAACGCGTAGATGTTCAGTTTGTGTCCGGGGAGATACAGTGTTTCCAAGCAGGTACTCAGTACATAGAGTAGTAGTAAGTATATAAGAGTAATAATGAAGTAGGTACTTTGTACTTCGAATATGAGTATCTACTCACTTTTATTCATACCACCCAATGTCTCGCTTCAATGTTTGATTATGTTGATTATGAGCACAACGCTGATCAACTTCCATATCCGAATTACCCATGAAATAAATCATTGAGGATTGACTTCGTGGACCTATATCAGCTTGTCGTCTTTTTGGTATTGTAATGAACTTCATAAAACGACAGAATTATTTTCACAGTCAATCGAAATCTGTAAATTTTGTCCTGAGAATTTTAAAATGTTGAAAACTTCAAATTAAATCCTCTAAAAACGGTAAAGGTTAAGGTTTTGTCGAAACCAACAAAGTGAATATAGGTAAATAGAATGGCAGATCAAAATTAATAAGAAACTTTCGCAATGTGTAACTAAATTCACTTTAACCAAGACTTTTCTTAAAATAAACGACGTTTTTTTACGAAAAAACAAAGAACGATTTGAAATGCAATATACTTTTCACAATCGCACGGAAGAAATAGTTTTGTATGACACGTCAGTTAGACGACAAGTCCGTCAGGAACGCCAACTATTGAAATTAATTCGAAGTGGCGATTCCCATACAAAATTTTTAGAATTTTTTGATTTTTTAGCTGTCTTATTTTTTGTAAATTTTCTTACATACAAACCTTGTCCTGACAATAAGGAACACATAAAAAAAAGAATCATCCAATTTGGTGCAGTCGTTCTGAAGTTATGCGCGTATATACATTTCGGCGATTCATTTTTATTTATATAGATGCATTATTATTATTTTAGAACAAATTTCATTACCATAAAAAAGGTTATACTGAGTCGATCTTAAAAGATAGACATATGCTGTCGCGGACTTTTCTTTAGAACTTTTAGAGGGAAAGAATTTCGTCATATATAATTTTTACGTAACTTTATCCGTTTAAGCAGCGTAAGCAACGGAAGCTGTCAAAGGAGGAATAATTTTCCCGTTTTTCCGAATTTTTCATTGCTACTTCGCTCCTAATGATCGTAGGGTGATGTTATATAGCCTACATGTAGATACGATACATCGACTATCCAAAACAAAATGATTTTTTGAATTCGAACCAGTAGTTTCTGAGATTAGCGTGTTCAACCAAACAAACACTTCAGCTTTATAATGTAAGTATAGATTATCTTATTTAAGATTCTCAACATAAGCGAAAAATGTGGAAATGCATAGAAAAAGAATTGGCTCCATGACACCGGAAATGCGTCCACTGCGAGTGAGCCGAGGTCAAGAGATCAGGATACATATGTCGTACATTTATAGTTTAGGTAGGATTAAAATATGTATCTCCAAATGTCGCTGTTATGGATCAATACGCCTTTTCAGATAGGCCTTATGCGATTTCTTTTAACAGAGACCGAGATGCATGATCTGCTAAGTACTTATCTTGTTCGCACTAGTACCTGCTAAGATAAGCCTGACTTTGGTTGATGACATTCCCTCTAAGAAAATAAAGGGCGGGTGGGCGGGGCTGCTACTTGTCTGATGATCCCTTCTAGGAAAATAAAAGGGTGAATCATTTACCAAAATCAGTCTTAACTTAGTAAGTACTAGCCCCGCCCACCCGCCCTCTCTTTTCTTTTTTCAAAATCAGTATTACCTTAACAAGTACCAGGTTGTATCAGTAAAAATTTTTATCTTGTCGAATTGTGCTAGAGCATAGTGCAAGTGAGCAGGTGGTCCTGCCACCACAGTAAATCGGGAAGGATTTCCTCTGAAACTGTCATGATTTTGTTATAATTCTAGTTATTACCTTGTAATGCCAACACTTTTTGTCTTTCAAAATATTCCTACTAGATAAATTGACACCAAGATACCTACAAACCATACAAATTGTCGGATTTTACATTTTTACTGTGTTAAGAAAAAGGAGATTAAGCTAAATGCTCAATTACGATTTTCATCTGACAATCTAATCTGCATGTTTATACTGTCAAAGATATAACTTAAACATTTACATGTTTGATTTGGCTGCAAGCAACTTTTCTCATAATTGACTATAAAATCCAAGTTTTGAGAAGGGAGAGACTTAATTTGACATATTTCCAACACTCCTCCTCAGAGTTTCCAAGAATAAGAAAATCATCAAGATATACTTACTATTTAATGTCTAGAGGTTACCACAAATAACAGTTAGCAAAATAAACGTGATTGTAAGTAAGAGTAACTAAGTAAGTTTAGGCAATTCCATAATTCCCAAAGCAGTTACAACCTAAGTACGATTATTTTAGCAATTAGTGAAGATATAAAAAAAAAACAAAGTTTCCGTTTAATTACACTTGCCGACAAAAAGGTCAGTTTCTAATTTAGTCTATATATATCTTCAAGAACTCGTTCCAAATGTGGATTTTTCTCTAACTTCAAGTTGTCGACTTCGTCAAAAACACCATTTTTCATATCTTCCAGTACTTTTCTAGTGTACTCAAAACTTCCAAAACTTTCCATTATATCTACGAAGAGTTTCTTACTTTCCATTTCCAGTGGCTTGTTTTTCAACATATCTAAGACAACAATTAAGAAAATAAAACGCTTTCTTTGGGTGAATATCATCTTTCGTGTAAAGGATACTCAAAAGCCGATCATCATTCGGACGACTCCGAATAGCATGAATCATAGGAAAGCTGAATTTTCCTTCATCGAGATCATCACAGTACACCCGAACGCTTGCCACTACGAAACGACTCAAACCAAACTCAAAAATAGTGAAAATCTGTTTACGTAGTCGTCATATACCGCTGCAAAATAACTCAAATTTTCACAAAATTTTGCACTAAGCTGGATTTTTTCTTTCTTGGCAAATAATTCTAACAATCGAACTCCCCAGAGCATAACAGCGAGACATTCTAAATTCAAAATTTGTTTAAATATGACAAACTAAAATTTAGCAACGTGATGATAATTTTAACTTACTGCCGTAAATTATCGCTCTGTAATCGTCGAAGGTAGGGCACTGAGCGATATCAGTGAAGTGAATCTCTACTCCTTGTCCTGTAAATGAACCAATTCCGAGCTTGATTAATGAATCAGTAGCTTCTTCCTAAACGAAAATAAAAACTCTGTGGAAAATGAATCTCAATAAACAGATTACTATTTATAAACCTTACTATCTTCTAAATAATGGAACAATTCTTCAAGTGAAAGAATAGTCCTGTAAATCGTAGCTTGTACCATCAATGGAATTCCATAAAGCATATGAGCAGCAGGAATTCCTCGACGAAGTATTGTATGATCTTCCATATCATCTACACTAAAAAAGTACAAAACAAAATGTATTTAAACCAGTACGTAACCATAACGTCTGTTTACATACATAAGAGCCACATTATAAAATTCTTCACCTATATTGCCATAAATTTTTTGTCTGTCTTTAGGACACTTGATCCAATAATTACAAGCACGCCAAATTCGTCTCATAATATTTTTATATTCTCTTCCTGCTTGTGTAATATGTAACGTAGGTCTTAGTATTATCTACGAGTATTTTTTTAATTAAATCGATTGTGGTGTTTCATTTTTGTCTGTACGTTACCTCTTCGTCTTGGATTTGCATTTGAGGTCTACTTGTTGTCATGTCTACAGTTTCAAATTATTATCAAAACCAACAGCAAAATTCAATACTTACTCCTTATTTTAACAATACCGCCACTATGACCCAACTTTTTAGACCGAATGGGCTCGATTTCCTCCCTTGAGTTTGTAAGTGAGTACACTCCGAAAAATGTGTTTTGTCCAGTTTTTATACTGGCCGCCTATCTTTTTTTGACGTAATAAAATGTGTCTTTTACGTTGCAAAATTATTTATGTCGTACCAAATGAGCTTTAAATTATTGCAATGTTGAAGTTTTTGTGGCAAAACGTTTGCATTATTTATATTACATGGAAAGTTAAATTTTTTATTATTTTGGTGAGAAGATATAAATTACGAGTCCGATAAGGACAACATTGCTATTATTGGAAGACATATATAAATCACAAGATTGATAAGATATCCTGGATATTTTAAGGCGATGACGATTGTCGTCATTCATATTCATATTGACTGGGTAACCAACGGGTAAGCACCCAATTATTACAGCAAACAAAAAGAAAAACAATGCAGGCATAACGGTGCAAACTGTAGCAATAAGAAGAAGGAAAAATATACAATGCTAAATTTGTAATAAAAAAGCCAAAATATAAATAAAACAATACTCCCTAATTCTCTAAATAAGACGTGTTTGATATTTAACTAAAAGGATCATTATTAATGTCACATAAATCACTAATAAGAAAATGACCAGAAGATTTTATTATAAAAAGTAATGAAATATTTAATGCAGGATGGTAGTCATCTTCTGGTACAAGGGGAAGATCCGACTGTTTTACAGAGCAATGAAGATTAGAGAATAGCACATCTAAAATGCGATTGAATTTGTTACACTCAGAAAATTTATGAAAATCCGAAAACTTTTTGAGCAAGATTGTGGCTCTATTATCTAAACTTGCTAAAAAATCTGGTACGTTAAAGTCACAAAGAACAACAAAATTGTTCATATGAGATTCTTCAGCAACACTGAATAAATTCAGAAAGAACTCAGAATCATTGAAGTTAATTGAAGGAGGAATATAAACAACGAAGGAAAAGAGAAAGAGTCCACATGAAGATTTAATTTTTAGCCCAAGTATGTCTATTGTTGGTAAAGTTAACATGATATGCGATAAATCAATCTCGGAAGATATGTATAAATGTGTTAAGAACTGCAGTAAGAACTCCACCTGCTTTTGTGACATTAGTTGCAGCAAAATCTTTTCTATACACTAAATAATTTATCTGGAAATAATTCCCTATTTAATATCTTCAGAAAGCCAGGTTTCCAATAGATAATAATAAAAAAGCAAACAAATGTTTTAATTTTGTCAGCATAGATAATTTGGCATTGTGACAGATTCACAAATCATTGCGACATTATTTAAAAAGAAAATACCTAAAATAGTTTTACTGTAACAAAAAATTGCAATAAAAAGATGTTTTTTGCAGTTTCGAAAAGACAGGCCCCATCTTTCTTTCGAAGAAGTAACTATGAGGGTCTCGAACATATTTTCTGCAATGTAAAAATACGCTGTAAAATATTTTTAATTTTTTTTCTCATAGGTGGGAACATCAACTGTGGCGAACATTATATCAACAGGGGACCAAAATTTAAAAACATCACTATCTGGCAAGCGAAAACGAACGGATTTATTTACAGATTATATGTTTCGGAAAGACCTGCAACGACAAATTTGGCAACTTAATGAAAAAAACGAATATTTCACTGTAGATACTCTTTTGGCATATTCTAGGGAACAGTTGGAATTTAAAGGGGGGCGAACCACATTATACAAAATTCTTAAGTCAATGGGTTATAAACACAGGGAAGTAAATGGTCGCAAAATTCTATGTGAACAAAAACGTGTCGTTGCAGACAAAATTACTTTTTTGAGAACATATTTACAGTTTCTAAATTCTTGTGAAAATTTGACTTTGGTGTATTTGGATGAAACATGGATCTATCAAAATGGTCCGTCCATTCGTCGCTGGGTGCACGATACTGATCTAAAAACAATCCCTCCAAAATTAAAACTGAAGGATCAGGGTGTACTATTCTCCACGCGGGTTGTTCAATGCGGTTCTTGGGTGGTTGTAACAATTTTTTAAATTCAAAAAATAACGATAGAGACTATCATAAAACGATGAACGGGACAATTTTTCAAAATTGGGTGGTTAATCAGCTCATTCCTACTTTGGCAAAGTTGAACCAAAAAGGTGTGGTGGTTTTAGACAATGCACCGTATCATTCGGTTCAGTTAGATAAACCACCCACTTTTTCTAGTAAAAAATGTGAAAAAGAACGAATGGCTCTTTAAACATAGTGTTGAATTTGACAAAAAATTTTCAAAGAAACAGTTGCGGGATTTCATTAAACCCTTCAGAAACAATAGAAAAAAAAGATATTTGGTAGACAAGACATTAAGAGAAAGTGGCCATGAAGTTCTTAGATTACCTCCGTACCATTGTCAATATAATCCAATTGAAATGGCGTGGGGAAGTTGTAAGAACTATTACAACAAGCATATAAATTCTCAACCTTCATTAAAAAATAGGGTGGAGAATTTATTGCTTGAGGCCCTTCCTAAATGTACTCCAAGCATGTGGCAAAATTTTTGTAAACATTGTGAAAAACTTATTTTGGCAGACTGGGAAAATATATGGGAAATCTTTCGTACGAATCTATACCTCAGCCTTTCATTATTTCGCTAGGTAAATCTGATTCAGAATCTGAATTTGAAAATGACGGTGATGATACAGATTTTCATAGCGAAATAATGAAAATGGAGTGAATTGTAGCTTGTCGGGGGGGTGATATTTTTACGCATCTTTCGTTCTAAATTTACCAAGGTAGTATGTGAAAAACTACCTGACGTACAACAAAATAAGTATAATTTTAGTTAGATCATCCACGTTGTTACTTTGCACCAAATTTTAAGCATTTTCATTTGTTTTTGTAACTCTTCCTGGACCTGGAGAAGGCGTATAGTAACGTTCTTATTAATAAGCATTTGGAAGTACTTAGTAAAAGCAAATAAAAAGCACTTACGCAAGCATTAGTAATAGCTATATAGATAAATCATTCAATTTAAGGCCGGAAAAATGTTTCAGAAGAGCTAAACCCATCAAAGCACTAGAGCAAGGTTGTTGTTTTTTACCAACCCTTTTAGTAATCTTGTTAAGGGACGACGTATTAAAAGGGCAAATAAAAAGCCTAACTGCACAACATGGATATATTAAGTAATAACAACACGTCTTTACCGCACGGTGGTCACTTGCAGAGAGAGCGAGTACGACCCGCTCCTCGGTCCATCACGTCGGCGATCCGGGACTCGCACATGCGCTCACGAAGCCGTAAGCGCTGTCTTCATCAACACTTCCCCTCGAGGCCTGGGTCGCGTTCTTCCCGGTGGGCTCGCTCGTGCCTCTACTCGATGGCGATGAGTCCCGAAAAATCCACACACCATAAGTGCTTCGGTTTGGGCAGCCCCTTGGTCAAAAAGTCGGCGACCTGTCCCTCCGTCGCCACGTACTCCAACCCAATCTTCTTGTCCCTCAGGGCATCTCGAACGAAGTGGTGGCGTATGTCTATGTGCTTGCTCCTGCTGTGCAGCACGGGGTTTTCGGCCAGTCTCAACGAACTCCGGTTGTCGCAGAGAACAACTAATTCGGCCAACTCGTCGAAGCCTAACTCGCGTACGAAGCGCTGCCAGTAAAGGGCTTCTTTGACGCAGTCGGACAGCGCCATGTATTCGGCCTCGGTGGTGGATAGAGCGACCGTTCGCTGTTTTCTCGCATCCCATGAGAGCGGAGCGCCATTCAGCAAAAATATGTATCCCGTGTAGGACCTTCTGTCGTCAACGCAGCTTCCCCAGTCCGCGTTCACAAACGCCCTTAAAGGCCCGACGGCCGATCCGTAGGCCAACCCCAAGCTCGCGGTCCCCTTCAGGTAGCGCAACACCCGCTTCGCCGCCGTCCAATGTTCCCTCCCGAAACAACTGTTATACTGCCCGAGATAACTGGCCGCGGATGCAATATCTGGTCGCGTAGTGGATGCCAAGTAGGTGAGGGCGCCCACGAGTTCGCGGTATGGGAGCTGGAGCTCTTCGTCACTTCGTACTTCGCGCTTCCCCAACTTCGTACCAGGGTCAATGGGGGTCGCGACTTGGATTGCAGTCTGTCATTCCGAATCTCGCGAGCACTTCGTTGACGTATCCGCGCTGATGCAAGGTTACCCTGCCGTCGATTTGCTCGAACTCTACCCCCAAACAGTGCTTCACCGCCCCCAAGTCCTTGATCTCGAAGCGATTGGAAAGCAGCTTCGTGACTTCGGAGGTTTTCTTCACGTCGCGAGAGGCGATCAGGATATCGTCCACGTAGATCAGTATCAGCGTCGCATTTTCTCCCGAACCCATTCGGAACAAACAAGGATCGGACGCCGTCGCCGTCGCCCCGATTTCGTTCAGGACGGCACAAAGTTTCGCGTACCATCTTCTGCCGGCCTGACGCAGGCCGTACAACGCCTTCTTCAGCAGGCAAACCTTGTCCCCGGCGTCTAGTTCGCGTAGCATGGTACAGGCCTTCGTCCTGACGGAGATGTCGTTCTCGGACTCGGCAATTCCTCGCAGAGTCTCACGAAACCACCTCGGCGGCTCCATGAAAATCTCTTCCTCCAGCTCCCCGTTGAGGTACGCGGTTGCTACGTCGAGCTGCCTGATCTTCAACCCGTAGCGAGCCGCCAAGGAAGCGACCAATCGTATGGAGCTAAATCGCGCCACAGGCGCGAAGGTTTCCGAGAAGTGAATGCCCGGTTGCTGGCTGAAGCCCTGCGCCACCAGGCGGGCCTTCCTTCTGTCGAGCGTACCGTCTGGAAAATATTTATTGCGTAAAACGAATCGGCTCCCTACCACTTTGTCTTGTCGTGGGCGGTCCACGAGCACGAATGTCTCGTTCTTCAATACGGACGCCAACTCCGCCTCGACGGCACGACGCCAGGCGTCGGC